GCGGGGCCGTGCGGCGGCCTTGCGGCGGGGACCCAGCCTCTCGCTGTGGTGGCCGGTGGTTAAAAATAAAGTGGTCGGCTTCTCACTGCTCGTTGTCTTTCACTGCAATAAAATCCACTCCTGTGAATGCTTTGTGAAAGAGGTGGAAGTGTTGGTTTTTTAATAACTGAGGGGAAGGTCCCTTTCTGCTTCTTGTGTTTGCACGTGGTGAAACATTGGGGTTTGCTGTTGTAAAAAAACCAGCCATTTCTAATGGAGATTTAAAGTATCTCTCTTGCCTATGGCTTTTGTAGTAGCTTGGGTTTTTGCATTGCATTTGACAGAAAACAAACCCTGGCCAAAGAGCTTTGAATTCTTACAAAGTTTTTTATTTGTGTAAAAATGAAGCCAGCATGTTAATATTAGAGCACGTACGTTATCATGAAGAAGTTTATGCGTAATTTAACGTGTGGTTAGATAGTCTAAACTCAGCTCCTAATTTCTGCAGCAAATGTTGCAATCCTTTCATTTTCTGTTATTCAGACTGCTCTGGCAAATTGGGGACAGTTTTTTAGAGTGGAAGGACTAATCTGATTCATAAATATATTTAAGAAAACTAACGTTCTCTTCTTCCATCTCGCAGTATGAGATGTACACTATTGAGAGGAATGCTGAAAGGACAGCGTCTGCGGGCAGGCTGCTGTACGACATGTAAGTAACCAGGGCTGGAGCTCTACTTTTATGCCAGGTGCTCTTTTCCGTAAATGTCAGAGTTTCCAGAAATATGATGTGGGTGTTCTTGGAAATCCATGTGGATAAATTAAGCAGAAAAGGTCTTATTAATTAAAAATAAACAGTAAAAAGGAAGGTTTTATTTTCCATTTGCCCATGCACATTCTTTCATAGGAAGGTTTTGTCTTGGAAACAGATTTTGAGATCACTGTGCATTCCTTGCCTCAAACTTTATTACAGGTTTGTGAATTTTCCAGACCAACCTGCTGTATGGAGGGAGATTAGTGTTATTACATCAGCATTAAGGAATGACTCGCAGGACAAGCAGACACAATTTTTAAGAGGTAAGGATTCTATTCAGTGAATACGGAGAGTCTTGAAGGAATCTAAAGATAAGCCCTCTGGTTACATATCTAGTGTGGCAAGTAAACGTCAGTCTTTTTAACTTTGCTTGTGAGCTGCATACTTTTTTTGCTCAGTTCAGCCTTCGAGACTTCATTCAGTGTGCTAGATTTAGGAGACACAACGGGACATGAGAAGCTGATTCCCATTTCTTTGTCTCTGATATGGGTAGACTAAGTCTGTCAGAACAACAAGCACTTAGAAAAGAGATTGCATAGCGAATAAGTGGCACAGGACTTACGAATCATCGTCCCACTGATTGCAAAGTGGGACTTTATGAATGATCACAAAAATGGGGGGAACTCATACGCATTAAGTGAGGGTTATGAAAATGAACAGTGACTGGAAGGCCTTGGCGTTCACTGCTGGCAACCACAGGCAGTTTTGAAAGCAGGATTTACACCTGGCAAATTATAATCTGCTGTTTGAATATGTGCTTCAGAAGCTCTAAGGATAAGCAGTGTGTAACTCTGCATACAGGATATTCCAGTTAACGAAACATTTGTTTTCTTGTGTTTCTTTTTCAGAGAGAATACATAAAACTTACAGGGAGAATATGTTGGTTTCTTTTTAGTGTCTCATTGGAAGTTTAAATTGAAAAAACCTACCTTTTAATAATGAAAGTATTAATTGTAGAAGTGGAATGTAAGTAAAAAAAATTAAATGAACATTCTTGAAAAAGCATCTTAAACGTCAAATATTTAAGTATTAGAATTTTCAGTATTCCACTCATTAGCAGTCTTACTTGTTAATTCAAGTTCTGTGCACCCGAATAAACACACATAAATATTCATATTGTCTTCTGTGAAAGAAACAGCCGTTTTTTTTTCAGGCATAGATATTAAAAGCAGAAAAAAGTATAAGGAAATCTCTTTCACTCTGCGTGGCAAGGTGATGTTGACTAGTCTTTTACCCTTTGTCAGTCACCTTTACAATTCAGACATAGTAAATGAAACATTTTAATTTTTTTTTTTAAGGATTATTTGAAACCCTTCCTGGTCGGGTCCAGTGTGAAATGTTACTGAAGGCCACAGAGCAGTGTTTTAACACATTAGAAAGGGCAGAAATGCTACTACTACTTTTGCGACGTTTCCCAGAGACTGTGGTGCAACATGGGGTAAGAGAAGAGAAGCTCGTAGTAACTATTCAGGATATTGGCATTCTGTTTCTTGAGATTTTGCTGAAACGTATTTTCCTTTGCCTAGTGAGAGGGCGAGTCTTTTTATTCATGTTTAATTGTGGCTAATAGTTCAGCTTGCTGTATCTTGAGGCTACCACCAGGAAAGAATTGGGCAGAAAACAAATGGAAGCAAATAAAACAATTTTTTGTTTTGTAAACACAAAGAATATTCCATGCTCTTTGAAAAAGCAGAATAGCACAAAAAAGAGTGTAGAGGAGTATTACAGTCTAAGAAAGAATACTGCTTCAGCTTTTTGTCAGTAAACTCTCATTGAGGGCAGAGTGCTTTGAGGTTATGACTAGACTCTAACAAGCAGCGTGTTTGCTTTGACTTACGAAACTACAGCTGGAGCTCTTTAAACGATGACCGACTTTATTTAAGGACAGTTTAAGGATAGTTTAAAAATAGTTTAAAGACTATAAAACCTGTTAGTTCTGAGACTGACTTACTCTCACACAGTCTAGCTCGTACTAGCGTCAGGCAGAGTGCACAGTCAGTTACTACAGCTCAGGTGACAAGCTGCAGCTTTAATGCCTGGTACCTCCATCGCTTTCACCTGTCTGTGCACGTCTTTACTGACACAGTTGCATGCACAATTTTTCTTTTGGTCTTGTTTTGCTATCTTCTGGCATTGCTTTTCACCTGTTCTTAAGTGGGGATAGTTTAACTATATACTTAGAGACTAGCACATGCAATTGCCATATAGTGAATTGCTACTCATGCATCCACTGAATTATTGTTCAACTCCATTGAATCGCAGTTCAAAAAGTTTCTAAAACCACTGGTCCAGTGTTTGATTTTCACCTCTGCTTACACAGGTAGGCCTTGGAGAAACGTTATTAGACGCTGAAAGTATTGAAGACCAAGAATCCCCAGTGAATTGTTTTAGAAAACTATTTGGTAAGAAAATCTTAATGTTCTTGTTTTATTATACAACTTTTTAGTATGGCAAGATTCTGAGTTCAGTAAACTACTTTCAAGATATTAAGATCAGGAAACCGCTTTAGTCAGCAGAGGCTCAGGCCACATTAGGCCAGGCTGACCATATGGTACAACTGGTATTACAGTCATTCACGTGAGGTTCTTTGTGATCCTTTGTCGTGTATGGTCAGCCAGAGATGGAGGCTTATGCTGCTGATTGAGAAACCTTACTTAGGACAAATAGAACAAAACCCACAAACCTAAAGGATTTTTTGGTTTGTTTTCTATTTTAGTTTGTGATGTTCTTCCTCTAATAATTAACAACCCTGATGTTCGACTTCCTGCCAGCTTGTTATATAAATATCTGAATAAAGCAGCGGAATTTTATATTAACTATGTAACTAGATCTACACAGACGGAAAGCCAATATCAAGGTAAGAATATTTTTACAAAATGAACCTTTCTTAGAATGTATTTTAGTATTACTGAAGTGACGTCCATAAATGAAGAATGCATTACTTTTATATAATACACCCCGTAGACAAGGATTAATAGTAGTATTTGATGTTTCTTAGTTCTTTGATACCAAAATACCTCATGATGCTTCAAGTACTTAGTCAGGATGCTCATGATGCTTCAACATATGTACTGAGAGGTAGGACAAAATGTCCAACATCTTCTTATCCAGCACAAGGAGGCAGAAATGCCTACTGCTTCCTGTTAGCCTTCTCAGTAAAGAATGGTCACCCTGAAAGCTCTGATGTATATTTTTACATGTCTCCTTCTTGAAAATAAATCCGTTGGTTTGATTTCTTTATGAAGAGAAAGATGTGCTGGTTTTCCTAGGTTCACAAGATTCCTCTGATATTATGTCTCCAAGCAAGCGTAGCTCTCAGAAGTATGTAATAGATGGTCTCACAGAGAAATCATCCCAGATTACAGATCCTTGGGAGAGGCTATTTAAAATATTGTCTGTGGTGGGAATGAGGTGTGAATGGCAAATGGATAAGGGAAGAAGGTGAGAAACGTGTACTTTTCTGGGTATTTCTTCTCAAGGAGAATTTTTTTTTTCTAATTCTTAAGGAGATGGGTTGAAGAAGGATTTTAACATGAGGATATTTTGTGTAAATTCAGTGCAGCTTTTTTTTCAAGACTGTACAATGTAAAGCAAAAGCATGGATCAGGGAGCACTTTTAAATTAGTCTCTAAAATAAATCTCTGTTGATGAAAGTCGTGCATAAGAACCGTAGTACTGTGGGGTATCCTTCCCTAGGTGCCTCAGCAAAGAGAAACATGGTAAATGTTTAGTGAAGTTTCACTGGCATGCATTCCCAGCCTCCACTGACTTGCAGCTGGGGGATTTCCTCAGCCAAAACATTAGGTTCTTCATATTCACTATGGATTCTTTCCTTTAGTTTTGGAGTCTGTGTAACATCCTGAATTCTTTTTGTCTCTTTCTCAGAAGTTTTGGTGATATTTTGCATCGAATGAAAGACCTCTGCAGATATATCAGTAACTTTGATAGTGATGCACATGCTAAATATAAGAATCAAGTAGTGTATTCCACGATGTTGGTCTTCTTTAAAAATGCATTCCAGTATGTCAGCAACATCCAGCCATCGCTCTTTCAAGGTTAGTTTCTAATGTTTCAACTTTGGTAAAGAGTTCTTTGTGATTTCATTGCTAATGTCTGAAAGATCTTTTCTCATTAGTCTTTTGAAACTATCCTCTTACAAAGCGACGTGGGTCTTTTTTAAAATTCTCCCAAGCCATTAGTCTTACCAGCAGAAGTAGTTCATGACAACTGCAGTAGTGGATCAGACCAAAGATCAATCTAACTTAGCGTCATTGTTTCAGCCTTGGCCAGCAGCAGTTAGTTGTCTAGCAAAGAGAAAAGTAACAGACCAGATGTCATGAGAAACATGTCTAGGATTGATTCCTGCTCTGCCATCAGCATCATGTTTGTTTGATTTTCTCCTCTGATTCTGTTTATTAGAAGCTGACGTTTTCCTAGCTTCCTTCAGTCAAAAGACTGTACGAAAAGCTTCCACAAAATAAGTGAAGATATTTCTGCATTAGGAACACATGACAAATTTATAATTAATCAAATAAAAACTGAATAGGAAAAGATTTCCTGAAATTCACAAGCTTCCAACTTGGCTTTCTTTGTATAGTTTAAGCATAATCTTTAAGGTGTGCTTTGCACATTAATCTTAATTTGTAATTAATTTGTAAATTGAACATTTAAAGCATGAATATTACCTGTGCTTTTTCCTACCCACTCAAATCTGCCTTTGGGGCGTATCAGATTGCTTGGAACACCTTGGATTGCTTCTTCAGGGATTGACTGGACTTTTCAGGGATGGCCCAGAAGCTGAGGGAATTTCTTTAGCCTTCAGTTTGTTTAGAATTTATTGAAATAAACAGCATCATAAAGAGGAATTCTCAACTCTCAGTAGTGTACATTTCCCACTTCTTCACTCACTGCTAGGGAATTCCTTGCTACAATAACAGTTGTCACCATAGGTAATTAGTACTTATTAGCACTACAATTACTGATTCGTGATAAAATTACAATTTTAATAATGTGTGTTGTGTTCATAAGTTTAATCACAATTTCCTGCGTGGACTAAATGATCATTCGAGTAATGAAACAATACAAATGATGGGTTTTAAACAACTTCACAGAAAGCTGGGTAATCAGTTGAACAATGTCAGTAGATAGCTAAGCTCAGAAGACAAATGACCTGGCAACTTGTATGCAAAGAACATGTAGTCACTTTAACAAATATGGGAACTAATTGAGTTGAGTTTTTTGTTCTGAGGTCCAGAGGAAAGAAGAGTTATGGTGGGGCAGTGAGATACTTTAGCTGTGCATGTAGTTTTAGCTGCTAGATTCTGAGTTGAGGAAGAAAGGAAGTAAAGTACTGGTGAAAATGTTCCTTCCTAAGTTGTGCAATTGAGTATGTTGAAGCTCGTGTTTTCAGACTGAACCACCAAAAAAAGAATGCACGCTGAGATAGCACCGCGCAGTCCCTTTGGTGCAGCATTTCTGGTAGCCTCTGTCATTTCCTGACATCAGGAAAGTATTTCCAAGACATCTTTTACTCATTTCTGCTTTAGCATTAAAGTCCAGTGGTACTCAGTGCCTTTCATATCCTTTCTATCATTAGAGTTTTTCCTCCTCTTTGGAGGGCTCACTGTAGAAATGTAGAATCCTATGTATTTTGGAAGTGTAGTGGTGGGGAAAAAAGCCGTCTCCTCCTTAATCCAGTAGCTCTGACCTTTGATCTGTGACTTTGTTCTCATGTGCATGGACTTGCAAGAAACCTCTTGAGAGAAAACTTTTCAATGCATTTCTCTTACATAATTCATATCTGCCTTGCCGGAGACTTGAGAAATGAATGAGGCAATTCACACCTCTCATAACTTAGCGGGCTGCCTGCAGGCTTGGCAAGAGTTGCTATTTGGGCTGATGCTTTTGGGGGTTTATTTATAACACTCTGTGCTAGAAATCAGTTAAAAACTCTGTAAGCTTAGATTCTAGAGCTCAGTTGGACAGAAAAACACGATATTGCTCTTTGTATGGCTGTGTAACTTTCAGTAATGTAAGAGAAGGTTTGCAGCCCAAGTCAAGGGTGAGGTTAGGTTTTGTTTTGTTTTAGGACTGGAGGTTTTGGAATAAAGGCACTTGCCTGCTACTGAGAAGAGAACATTTCTTTGGAAAGCAAAGCACTTAACTGGTATTCATTCAAATCAGTATGAGTAAAAGAAAAAACCCACTCCTTTCTTCTCAGGTGTTAGAAGTAGGCAGTTCTTGAGATTCCAGTGATAAAACTCATCCAGCGTCCCAGTTGTGGTACTTTCATATCTGTTTCTCATGGATGCTGTTTTCTACATTACGACTTGGCTCTATTTTCAGTTCACAAAGGTTAGATCCCAACAGAGTGGAATACATGGTGGTACAGGAGACATGATTTCAAAGTGTTGTAGCCTTTGTGTAGGGGTCATTTCAATGGTGGTATTTAGTTTGAACCTAGTCAAAGGGGATAACATTATTTGTTAAGTATGCCAGGTTGGTTGTTTCTTGTAACATTAACTTCTGTTGTAGTGGAGTCCTTACACATCACTTTTGAGTAGATGGGAAGAGCTTAATATGGGTTCTTTTATGTCAAGAGATAAAATGGATTGTCCTTATACTAAGCGCTCAAATTAGTTCTTTGCAACTATGAATGAGGCCTTAGCCTCATATTTTTCTGCAAATAGAAACAGAAGAAATGCACATACTGAAAATACTTGTCTGCACTACTGTCTTATCTGGTGGAGATTTCAAAAAGGGAAAACAGATCAATGGATTTCCCCTTTCCTTTATATTTCTCTTTGTCTGAGCTTTGCACATCTGTATACAACTTGATTGTGTAAAAGGAGAAAATGTTTTGGGAAGGAAAGCTTTCTCAGTAGCGGCCGTGTACCAATATTGTTTGAGATTAATAAGTGTTGTTCCTGTTTATATCTAATGAAGCTTAAGCACTGAGGTCTGAAATAAGAGGTACCAGATCCCACTGGATGTTCTGTGACACCAGTGGAAGTAGGAATTATGTCTTCTGTGCTTCAAAATGAGGCTTCTCTAGAGGCTTTGGGGAGTGATGATGGGCTCTGGCCGTCAATTAAAGGTTTAATTCTGTACACTGAGATCAGTGGGGGTAAAGCTGACGCTGAGTGATCCTGCTAGGGAAACCTTGTGATAAAATACACTCATTTCTTTGAGGCATCAGTGCCTGTCAGCATATTGCTTTGGTTTCTCATGAGAATGTTTTGAGAATATTGCTATGCTTCACCATATTTGTGGCTGTTAACTTCAGAGCCATTTGTTCTGTTCACCTGTTGAATAGTTGTACTTATATAAAAACAAATAATGCTTGATGAGAGAACACCTGCTGCCCGAGCATATCGTGTGCTTTGTAAGAAAAGGATTCAAAGATATTCGAAGCTCTCAAGCAAACTCTTGTGACGTCTGGTAAATGCATTCTGACCTTTACCGTAAGGCTGCTTTGAGAAAACCATAGCTTTACCAGCATAGTTTAGGCTTATGCAACTTAAGTGAATTAATTTCAGATTGTTTTTTCTGTCTAGCGTTATAATTATTACTTGTGAGGGAAACAAAACCAGCTTGATGTAGGCATGAGACCTTTCAGATCAGTTTAGAGCAATCTTGAATTAATTTATCTTTAAATCCAGGTCCAAATGCTCCAAACCAAGCCCCACTGGTTCTTCTCGAGGATGTGACCAACATCTATGGTGATACAGATATTGATCGTAACAAACACATACACAAAAAGAGGAAACTTGCTGAAGGAAGAGAAAAAACAATGGTAAATTTTCTAGACTTTTTTGTTTGTAACAAGAATGGCATTGGTACTGGAATTTAGACAACAGTGGTTTTGACACAGACGTAATAGACATATTTTTAGAGCTACCCTGGAATAGCTGTTTATGACCACAATTTGCAAACAGGTTTTTTTTGCTAAAGCCAGTAAGAATAAAACAATTTGTGTAGCAATTGCTGTAGACACATATGTGCTGATGTGAATACTTCAACTTGAAGGAGTTCAGCAGAGACTGCAGAAGCTGTTAAAAGTGGTAGCTATAGCAGTCAGATGTTCTACAGCTAAATCTCCAAATTAATTGACTTTTCACGATTGGAACTGTGAATGCTGTGTATCACAGTTTCACCACTGAGTTTCTTGGTAGCAAAACAGATTGTTCTAATATTAAAACAAGCTAAGCAAAAAGTCACTTAAAGGCACTTCAACTAGGACCTTGGCATTTCTAGTACAGAGTTGTTTTCTTGTGTTCAGTGGAACTTCTGTGACTTCAGAGTCCTTTGAAATAAGTATAAATTAAGAAGTGAATCTTTTTGTTTTATACTGACTCTTAAGCAGAGCTCAGATGATGAGGATCCTTCTGGGAAGGCGCGAAGTCGCCACATTACAGTAAACAAGGCAGATCTTGCAAATTCTATTGAAGTATTGGAGAGCTTTAAACTGGCAAGAGAGAGCTGGGAGCTGCTCTATTCTCTGGAATCACTTGACAAAGGTGAGGCTAACTGCATGCAGAGTTGCATTTAGGCTTCATTGCTGTGCATAGAAGTCATTTTACTATTAAAATAGAATTCCTGTCATTGTGAATCCTTAAAATTGAATTTACTTTGGGTCCTGAGTATTTTTGATCTAAGTTCCAATAAGAAGCTTTATCAGTTGTTGCATTTCTGAATATTTTGTTCCTGGATTTCGTTTCATTCTTCACACACCTTTGCTTATTCACCCCGACTTCTCTTGGAAGCAGCTTTTACTGAAGCAGCAGTTGGTTAGTGGTAGTGCTGATAATACTCAGTGAGGATGTGCTGCTAATGGCTGCTTTAGTTCATGCTTAAGAATATGTATCTTTACTGTGTCTCTCACTTTCTGATAATACTTGGTGTGATAAACTTGAAAACAAATTTGTCTTCTAAAATGTAGGCAAATAGTACCACCTAGCTGCTTTTAGATTTGTTGGGCACTGTGAAGAGAAGTATAATCAAAATATATATATGGGAAGAGAGTATCCTATATTTGAAAGAGTTCACAGTCTTACTGTTTTGTTTTTTCATTTTTAAATTCAGCTCTTTTTTTCCTAGATAATTGATTTTTAACCCAAAGCTGTGAAATGCTTCATTTTCTCTTTTACTTTTTCTTCTCTGACCACTTACGCAGAGTTCACCAGAATTTGTTTGTCATGGAAGACAGACACCTGGCTTTGGTTAAGAATCTTTCTTACAGACATGATCATCTACCAGGTAAAAAAATAAAGTAAAAACTAGTAAAAATGACACCATTACGTTGCTCTTGCTTCTAGTGAATAGCTGTCGCTGCTTAGCCAGTTTGACTGCTTTAAGTGTCTGCTGATTTTATCCTGTAAAGCATGACCCTTTTGGGGATGGAATCATACCATTCTTACCTCAAGCTAGGTACCCTACTGAGGATATTCCTGTCCCAATAGCTGTTTGTTGAGTCCAGCTGGTTTTGGCTTATGGAAAAGACCTCTGCATTGGCTTTTTGACCAGTAGATATATTTAGCGTAGTGCATTTTATTCATCTGTCAGTGCGTTCTATTGGAACACAATCAGAGAGAAGAATTTTCAAACAGCAGAAGATTTTAATATCTCAGTCAAAATTTGTCATTCTCCTCAGAAATTAGGCTGACTGTACTCCTTCCAAATGCCATCTAGAGAACAAAGCTTGTTCTTTTATGTTTTTCCTTTGGGGGTCTTTTATTTTTGCCTGTAACTGTACCTGAACAAGAGCCATTTCAAACTTTATTAGTCTAAATAACGTAATGATTAACTCTGAAGAGCATGATTATTTGTTTCAGTTATAAGTGCAATTTTGTAAACAGGCTTTTTGAAGCAGAATTCTCTTGCAAGTCATCAGTTCACACTCCTGTACACAGCACATCACCGGAGAGTGTTCTGCTAGGTTAAAATTTTGAAGCCCTGTTACTTGGACACAGTCTGTTTTGAAAGCTTTCTGTAAGGGATTTTTTATTTCTGTCTTTCTACCCATTGCATACAGAAGACCCTAACACTGTCTTTTTCTGTCTTTTTTTAAAGGGGCAGTACAAAAAAGCAATTAGCAGCCTACACCACTTGGCAGCTCTTCAGGGTTCTCATTCTCCGCAGCAAATTACAGGACAAGGATCACTAGAAAATCAGAGAGCACTAATCCAGTTAGCAACATGCCACTTTGCCCTTGGAGAGTATCGGGTATGTACAGCATTCCACACGCTGGTCCTTCATCATCTGGCCCATTGGTTCCTGTTTGTCGTCTTCCGTTGAATTTTCCCATTAGCCTGCTTTCAGCAGGGTATCGAACGTAAGCCAGGGTCTACTGAAAAATCCATGCTTCACAGGGAGAAGAACTGCACTTCCTGGCACATTAACTGACTGTCCATTAGCATCTCTCTTATGTAGTCTATTTGGTAGTTATGATTTGGGGGGTTTAGTTCTGATTTTCCATAGCTACAAGTATTTGAGTTGTCTGTAAATGTAACCTTAAATTTGAATTCCTTAACTTTACTGAAACAGTTTTAAATATTGAGGGAAAATTCTTAGGTACAGGCTTCATGTGGCAGGGGAAAGAAAAGTTTTAGAGAGAGAGAGAGAGAGAGAGAGAAAAGAAACTTCTGTGATCATCTTAGAAAAGAATTAGTGTTCAACTGGCAGTATAAGAGACCTCAGAAGAATATTGTCTGGCCTGACCTCTGAACTTGCTTTACCTTTGCAATACATCTTTTGTGTTTTTAATATTACAGGAGTGCACGGTGGTCTGAGGTCAGTCAGTGTCAGCACTAATAATAAAGGCTGCATCTCTTAGATATAACATCATCCTAGCACTACTGGACAAGTCTTTTTGTCCCTTCCCGTTTACTGTTTTTTCACTGGAAATGTGATAATAGATCCGCACAGACCTCTTACTTTCTCTAGGAAATAGCATTAAAAATTCACTGCATTTCTGTCATGCTGTCAGATTCCCATTTTTCTTTCTATTTCTACCATGGACAGAACAAGCTTTTAAAAACTATTCTAAGAATTCATTTGAAAACTTAATCCTTCAAAACAAAACAGTTTTTGCTTGCAGTTGTATTGATCTTACACTCTTGAAATGAAGAATGCCAATACGTATTTTTTACAATTAAAGTTACTTCTGTAGGCTCTCAGAGATTGTTTAATGACAGCTATATCTTTTTGCTCAGCCAAACTAAGTTACACATTAAGTCCACTCAAGTTCTAGCAGAGAGTTTTGTGATTGTTTTTTTTTTTTTGCTGTGTCTGAAATTTTTAATCATTATGAAACATATCTGAATTTTAACAACTTAAATTTAGACTTAGCATTATCATGTCTCTCTTCTTTTTATAGCAAACATGCGAAAAAGTGCTTGACCTCATGTGCTGTATTTTACTTCCAGTACAAGAAGGAGGTAAAGTACCAGAGGAGCAACCTAAAGTAAAGTCTAAATTCAGGAAAGGTATGGAGTTGCTATTACCCTAAACTCAGTGTCAACTCGATTTTAGTTCATGCGTTTCGGTTGAGTATATAATTCTCTTCCTTTTGTATTATGGAAAGGGAGGAAGTTCTTTATTCCCTCTTGTTTTTGTGAGTGGTTTTCCTGCTGGTACCTGTTAAAGTATATTGGTGACAAAGTCCTACCACAAAGAGGAACAGCAGGAAGGGCAAAGAGAAATGAAGAAAAAATTCTAAAATGTGTAACTTCACATTTTGAATCATTCGTAATTTACCTTCAAAGTTTTCCTGCCGACCTGAGATTTGGCAACTGTAGATTCGTTTTGCTCCATTCTAATTTCTTTCAAAGTTAGATAATCATGAGACCCCTAAAGTGTTTGATAAACTGTTCTGTTGCAGGGTCTGATTTGAAGCTTTGGCCATGTACCAGTAGAGCTATCATGCCTTACTGCCTTCACCTGTTGTTAGCTTGTTTCAAGGTAAGCTATAGTCAAGGCCTCAAATCCTCTCATGCCTCTAAGGCCTAGTTTATGTATCTGGGGTCCTGAAACTGCATGGCCTTATCCCAGTGGTGTGACTAGGTGTGAAGGGCTGTGCCTCAAGGGCTTCTCACCTAAATGGGTTTGTGGAGAGTCTTTTTTGGGGGGCGAGGGAGTGTTGATGGAGGAGGGTTCGTTCTCTCTTTTTTTCCTCTTCTATTTGTTTTAATTTTGGGCAGAGGAGATAGAATTAATCTCAAAATATTGTTGTCTGTATTCAGACTTCCCTCATAGGTTAGTGGAGAGAATTTGGTATTTTGGCTGGAAATTTCCAGCCTATTTAAAATGTATATATTAGGTCAGAATGAAATACACTCCTAAAGAACTTGTTTTGAATTTGCTCAGATGTAGGAGAGATCAATCCCATATATATATAAAAGCAACATGTGTTTCCTGATTGTCTCAATGTCACTTTTTTCCCTGAAGCTCCGAGCTTTCACAGACAGCAGAGATGATATGGCGCTGGGCCACGTAGTTGTTCTGCTGCAGCATGAGTGGCCAAGGGGTGAGAACTTGTTCCTGAAAGCCATCAACAAAATCTGCCAACAAGGAAACTTCCAGTATGAGAATTTTTTCAACTATGTCACAAGTATCCTTTCTCTAACCAAGAACGTCTTTTACATCCAGAACTATGTGCTGGCATGTTGAAAAAGCTGTTAGGTAGTTTCAGCAGCAGCTCTCTCCATGTATCATATTCTGTATTTATTTTCATACCAGGCAAACCTCTTGTAATAGGTGGCAGTGCACAATGGACTATAAATATGCCTCCTGTCACCTGTTCTGGCACTTGAGAGTACACTTAAGTACATTGCAGTTGCACTTCCATTCAGAAAAACAGCAGCGGCTTAGGCTGCTCGTGCAAGTGATGGCAGTCTTTTCAGTAAGATATACAGGGCATTATACTACAAGGTTGTCAACAAAAACAGTGAAGCAGTACCTATGCTTCAAGGAGTTGAATGATTTTGGCTATTGTTTATGAAATGCTTTGTGTGGGTAGGATTTTTGGGTTCAGTAAGATAATGAGCTGTGTCAAAGTTCATGCAAAGCATGTCTGATTTCTATATTCAGATATCTGACATATGCTTTGACCAGCATACAGACACATCGACAGTTTAGTGTTTAACCTAGACATCCAGCCGTGGTCTCCAGGAAGCAAGGGGTCTAGCTCCTATCTGAGACAACTAAAAAAGCTCTGCTGTTAAAGGAAGGGAAAAAAGAAGATAAGCTAAGTAAGGGACCAAAATAAAAAACTAAAAAGGGTGGTACATGCCACTGTGGTGGCATTTCCTTCAGTCCCAGCCTCAGTATGCACTGCTTTGATAACCTGCCACGCAGGAAAAGGAAGTAAAAATAACCAGGGAATTTGTTTGGAGAGATGAGCTTTCTTTACCTGTCTGACTGTACATATGAAGAAATGAAGAAAGAAAAGAAACTGACTGATATGTGTGGTTTGCACTTCAAAAAGCCATTTCTCATGAATTTGTGGAGGATTAGGAATACATGCTGTGATCTTCTTTATCACTTTTAAGAATGAGATACTTCAATAGCTGTTCACTTGGACTGTCCTTTCAGCAACGTGGCTTCAGATGTGAGGGATAAGAAGGAATGTTCTCTGTCATTTTTTCCCTACTCAAATCTTTAACGTTTTCTTCAGATATTGATATGTTGGAGGAATTTGCTTATCTAAGAACACAGGAAGGAGGGAAAATTCATCTGGAACTGCTGCCAAATCAAGCGATGTTGATCAAGTAAGGATAAAAAAGCATTTACTGTTTTCTTTGAAAAAAAAAAAAAGGGAGTATGTTCTGGTTGTCTTTGCTTTCATGTAATCTTCTGGATAGTAAGTTTGTCATGTCTTTGAGTTTAAATTTAAGGAGTTGCCTAAGGAGTTCAAACAAGGCTGTGAGTTTCTTTTTCCAATTCTCCTGCTAATCTGTGAATTCTTTTGGGGGGGGTTTCAACTTTAAGCTCCTACTTTTACAGAACTTTGTTTTCAAGTGTGGCATTTGCTTAGAAGGATTCATATTAAAGTGATTACAGTATTGCTCTTTCAAGCAGACACTTGCACTTTGCAGGAATTCTTTAAATAATTAGGCACGAGTGCAAGGTGGTGTTAATAATTTTGCTGAACGGTAATGCTGACCAGAAAGCACTATTTGTGGTAAACAAAGTTATGAAAGACCACTGAATGATGAAAAACTTAGGTATAAAACATAAATTAAATTACACTCCAGGTAAACTCTAATAACCTTTCTGTCAGAACTAGCAGGTCATCTCTTGCTATGTACTGAACAAGCTTATTCTGCTTAGCTTATTACGAGATGCTGAAGGAAATTAATGATTTGGATTAACTTCCTAGGTGTTCTTAGTTTTGAGTCAAGACTGAACAAGTATCTGCTGCAGGGTTTTAGTGGCATAATGTTTTGGAATATCCTGGTTGTTTATTAGAACTTGTGGTATTTTGCTTTATAAGAGGGGGACTGCTAAAGTTTGTTGAAATTCCAGCTGGGGTCAGTGTATTCTGGCTATTCACTAATGAGAAACGAGCTAAAGTTTTCAAAAAATGGGAGCCTGACATTAGACAACTGTATCCAAATTTGGACTAGTAAATAGATTTTCCAGAGTTCTAGGTAACCAACACAAAAATGAGATACTAGGTGGAATTAAAGAAAAGAAAAAGAAGAAATACAAGTGCTTAATTATGTGACAGAGAATTTTCTCTTTTAAGCTCTAGATTTTCAAACTCTTACCCTTGCTGTCTCTCACTGCTTGTAACTAGCTGTATGAAAACAAAAATCAGGGAATGCTGCACTACGTACGATGTTAAATAATAAGCTTTGTCAGCAAGAGGGCTTACCAGTGAAGACTATGCCTGGTAACTTCTTAGCTGCTATCTCAAGTTGGTTGCAATAGTTCAGTGCTATTTCTCTGCGTCATGGCTTTTATTTTGATTGGCATGGTAGCTGTTACTGTTCTGACCCCACCAGTCACAAAGTAGGTAATGAGCAGTGTTTCTAGCAAGACAGAAATCTCTCTTTGACCTCCTTTCGACAAGTGTTATGTTTCCTGAATGATGGAAATTCTTGTAGAAGAGAGGTCCAATTCTTTGTGCTTATTGAGCCAAAACAGTCAAATATCCTGTCCAGCTAGAAAAGCCGTGTACAGTGTCTTTTATGTGGCTGAGATGCATAGGACAGGAACCACTTCATGAGAGAGCTGATGGGAGGGACAGTCCAGGGCGTAGTCCACTAATCGGAGACGACGTCTGCTCCCCTGGTACCCCAGGTATTTTTTTAGCTGGACTGGCTGTGAGGCTCAGGGGTGGTGTCACCCAACGGCGTTGACCTCAGCAGCACTGGGTAGCTCACGGCCTCCCCCAGCTGGGGTTTTAGATAAAGTGCACCAGCACAGCCCTGTTTCCTGGGACAATGGTTGGTAGGCTCAAAATCTGCAGACTGGCTTTCATTTTTCAAAACTATCACTACACCAACTAATTTTGGTTGTATGAGCTGCTGCACCATCCTCACAAGAATTAGCAGAGGCAACTCAGATACTGTTCAGTCATGCACAGGAGGACTCTCTGAGTTTGCCACAGCAGCCCAAAGATGAAGCAGTTGCTCCTTTGCCTGATCTTTCCTCGGCAGGAATGTACGTAGCAATCCTCCGTCTTAATTGATGGGAATGTATTACAGATATTGTATGGTTTTTATAACGACAGCTTTTTGTTTCATGACTTATACGACATTTTCTCCCCAGGTGATTTCCACATTCTACTCCCAGTACTTTTCCTCAGTACCTTATACTTTATCGGAAATGATATTAATTTTTCTGAACCCAGGAAAGCAAACTGCAATGTGGTTTTCAAAAGCTGAAGTAAGATCTTGGTAGCCTGCAGACTTATAACAGGGTCCTGCAAAATATATATACAGCTTGTAAGCTTTCCCTTTGCTTGTATCCATTGTGGGAATATGAAGGTCCATGGTTTTGGTTTTAACTGGTGATATAGCCAGCTCATTCTGTTTGCAGTGTCAGCAAGACTTCTACGATGAGCTCTGAATTCAACCACCAAGTGCTTTTGAACTCCGTTCTAGACAAGCCACGTTTTATAGTTTTCCCGATGATACACGTCACTAGTGGCAGTGTTAGCTAGTGAGGTTAAAGAGGAAAAGAACAACATGCAAGAAATGACTGATTAATATTGTGCTCCTCTTTTTGATAAATCTTACTCGAATTAGTCTAATCTTAGCCTACCAAACTGCGTAAGCTTGATGTGAAAGCTGCTGAGTGTTCTGCCTCTGCTCACATTCCCATCACATCTCCACTTGGGGACAGAGGAGGAAAAGCTCAGTTGGTTTAAAGTGAAACACAGTATCTTGAAAGTGTAATTTTTATTCTGATTGTGCACTTGGGTATGTTTAGTTCTGACTGCAGATCTTGCAAACAGTACTGAAGACACAGTTGCGCAGAATCCCTTTTGCAAACATCTGCCACTCTGGGACCAATAACATCTTGCTGTTCTTTTTTATTTTCTGTTCCCCATGTCCATTTTTGCAAGTACTAGACTCATTCATACCAAGAACTCTTGAAAAATTATCTCATTTGATTGCATAATTCTTATGAATATTTTATTTCAGGTCATTGTAGCTGTATTGTAGAGTGTTTCTGTACTACTAAAATGTCCCGTCTGTATTTGACTTTTATAAGCATAGCTCTCCATCTATATTCATTAATAAATTACAGACACTAACCAAAATGCCCACCTGTGAGATCTGAAGGTAGGCACCTAACTAGATATTATAGGTATTGATAATGTAGGTATAAGGGCGAGTCTTGCTTCTCTGCTCCCTTCTTAGCGTCTGGGGGGGTGAACGATGCACTCAGTACTCGGGTGCCTAATAAGATTTAGGTGACATTTTGAGAGACTTAGGTTAAGAAACTAGACCTGTTCTCTATATACCAAAGTTCTCATTTCTCCTTAGGTGGGGCATTGGATTTGCTCTAGGCTGGACGTGTGAGGTTATTATCTTGTGTTATAGATAGCACACAGACATAAGGACTTAACTTCATAGAGAAGACAAACTGTCTTTCAGCTGAGACACCTTTTGGCGGCTCGTTCATGTGGTCCTGGTCATATATGGGGGGTTGCTCTGAGCGGGCATTTGTAGTCTGACATTGTGTGGTCCTCTAACAGCCATTTTTGTATGCGGTTTGAATTTGAGAAGGTGAAAAAGGCCATCTGTGGGCTAATGAAAAGATACTTAGGCAACCAGTAACAAACACTGTCATGTACTCAACTTGGCCGATACCCGCTGTGCATGCACTCGGCTTGGGCTCAGCAGCAAATCCCTTAACTCCGAGTTGTGGGCTCTCCCAGTTCGCTGGTGCGCTCTTGCCGGCTCTGCAGGGCAGCTGCGGTGTCAGCAGCGCTCGTCTGATTAAATCTTTTCTGATGGACACGCTTCCTGGGAAGAGCTACGACAGTTCATCATAGTACTTTTTGCACCTACCACTGCGCTTTCTCCCGGTGTAACTGTCCAAAAATATGTGTATATATTTAGACCACAGTTGCAGAACAGCCTTGCAATGAAATCTGGGGATATTTGCATGTTTGCTGCTGTTAGGGTCCTGCACCCCTTCGGCTGCTCGGTGGTCATATTGCTGTGTGGTCTCACCCTAGTTCTTTGTTGCTCCTTTTTCTGGAGAGTTGTTTTGCACCGGAGGGGGAGTTGGTGTGTGGGTGTTTGAATGCTGCTATTTGCTGTTTTTTAAAGGACTTCTAGCCCTCCCATGGGGTTACAAGCCCAGCATACAGACTGCTGACAGGTACCAAGTGGAAAAACCCCGCTCATAGTGTGCTGTGTTTTGTCAACATGTTTTACTGCCCATGGTTTTCAGCAATTTGTTACTCAATATTTATCTTTTTTTTTTCTCCATTTGTGCCTACATTGCCTGGCAAACCATGTTGTTCTATTATAACGTTTATTTTTCTTTTTCCCATAAGTTGCCAGTATCTGTGTCCTTTCAACTTAATAATCGCTGTCGAATTGAAACAAAAATGTAGAAAACCCCCCAAATGATACCGATGTTCAGTCACGTATTAACAAAAGTATAACCCTTTCTTTTCAAGATACTGGTTACTGGATCCGTTTGTAGCTACTTTCCTTCATTTAAATTGTTCTGAATTCTGTTTTCTGTTTTCCAGCTGTTACATGACACACGTCTTCAAAAGCACTGCTGGCTTGCTCAGCGGCTGTAGGTTGCATGTTCTCCTTTAGGTTGTAACTGACCATAGCACTCGGCTGCCAGCAATGTTTAAGACAGTCCAGATGGAAAACAGGGCTTCTCCCATAACCTCTGAACGTGCTGGAGTGTTTTCAGTGCAGTTTTGCTTCACTCAGCCTAGCTCATCAACGAATTGCCCAGTAGTCTCCAGGCTAGTCTGTTCTTTGCCTTTTCCACATGTTATGGAGGTCTCTGCTGTTTTGGCACAGAAGTCTCTCCGCAAATGCTGGACTTGCTGATTTAAGTGAAGGTGGGGTGGTATTGTTGGTGAGGGTAATTCCCAGACTTTGCCCCTTCTCGTTTCCAGCATCTCTGGATTGGCATAGATGCCCTCACCCTTTATTTTTTATTTCCTTTCTGTCTTTCAGTGGGCTTGCTGGGTTCGGTCCAGCTCTTCCCTTCTTACCCATGACTCAGGACTTGTCTCAACGTTAGCATTATGCTTTGCTCTCTAATTTAACTTACACTGCTCCTTTAGTAGTGCTAGGGCTCTCATTTCAGGACGTATCTCTTGCTTCCCTTCCCAAGTAGGGCTTACAGGTAGATGTTACAAAGTCTTGACCTTACTTAACCAGTTCTGGACCAGTGCAAGTAAAGCGTAGTGGTTTGGCGCTGCAGAACGTTGTTTTAAGGACAAGATTTAGGTATCGAGCGCTACAGCGTGAGGACAAAGAACTGTTCATAAGAACAGCCTTTAACAGGGCAACATCCCAAGAGTTTCCCTAGCCAGCATCGCTTTAGCTTGCTCGGTCGCTGGACCTTTGTGCTGTTTGAAAGCAAGCCCTGAAGTCCTGCTCAGAACAAAGGTACTCCCTGCCTGGTGTCTGCTATCTCCACAAGAGCTGGCTTCTACTGACACAGACTCACAGCCTGGCTTGATTTGGGCTTTGTGTTGGCCTATGAAGTGTTCACTGCACCTTCATTAGTTAAAGAGTTATCAGTGCCTATAGGATTATATAGCTCCTTCCTGCACTCTCCTACTGGTACAAGATGTCCTCTGCTCTTTATGGTGGCAGCCATCTGTCCCCTTCCTCCAGAGGAAGAAGGTTCATCTTTTCACTCTTCCTTCAACCCCACCCATTTATAGAAGTGATTACAAGGAGGAAGTAGCCTGGGCAGCAAAGGTAGAGAGAAAAAAAAATTCCTTTCCCCAGGTAAGAACTCTGTACACACTGAGTTAAGAGAACAGATTTTCCTGTTAGCCAGAACAGCAACGCTTTTTTTTCCCCCAACAGTCATAATCAAAGCAGCGAGAGCATCGACTTTTATGGAACTTCTAACTGTTGAAAGACTTGTAAGCTACTAAACACATGATTTTTAAAAAATAGCATAGCATGGGCTATTTGGCTCTCCTTATATAAACTCAGGTATGGACAGTAGATATATAGAAAGTGACATGCAGCACCTTTTAAATTACCGTGGTGCACTAAATAACCGTTATTTGATTTTGTCTGTCTCTCTTTCCTGCATGGCTTAAGGCATCATACAGTTACCCGGGGTATAACTAAAGGAGTGAAAGAAGATTTCCGCCTGGCCATGGAGCGCCAGGTCTCGCGCTGTGGGGAAAATCTCATGGTGGTGTTGCATAGGTTCTGCATTAATGAGAAAATATTGCTGCTTCAGACTCTTGCTTAAACGGACTGGACCACGATGCAGCGCCTCTTACGGAGGAGAGGGGAAGGGTCTTAATTGTATGAACGGCAGCGTGGTGGTGGAAAATCGCTTGTCCAGAGGGTCAAAGGAGTTCCCTATGAGTGACAGGTTCTGCAATACACAAACACTACTCAGTGTTTGTTCAGTGCTTAGTTTTCTTCTGTGGGTAGATCAAACTTTCTAAATAAAACTTTGTTTAAGAAGTCTTCTATAATGTCCTATTTGTTTTGCCTTTTTTTTCCATAGCATTATACTAAGGTGTGCGTCTTAGTTGTTTCCGTCTTTATACATACACAGAGAACGTAGCAGGGTATTTCATGCTCTTTATTAGCACTAGTTGGGAAATCGCAGCATGAGTGAAATTCCTGAATTTCCAAAAACTATTCTCTTACGTCGAATTCGTCTGCTGTCTCTTCCTTTTTGGCTGCCTTCTACCTGTATTGCTGGTTTTCCGACTCAGTGCCCTTACGTAAATCCATTTCTAAAGAGGACTGCTTTGCCTGAACTTTAGAAATACCCAAGTGATGATACAAAGTCAACAGGAACTGGTCTTTCTGCACTCCTAGAGTGGAGCAGATGAAACTCGGGCCTCATCCACGCGTGAGGCGTGTAACACAAAGGCCCAGAACATGCACCGACGGGCTGCCAACCCTGTAGCAGCAGCGTGCTGATTAACAAGCCAACAGAAGAGATCTTTGGCAGCAGGCCTCAGCAGGATCCTAAACGTAATGTTTTGATCCAAGACCAAACTGGAAGAACACAACGAAGAACAATCAGGTGAGTCACCACTTGGGCAGCACGCTGTAGCCCAGAGGTGCCCCTGAGCTCTCCCAGGCAGTCACTGCGCCACCGACCCAAGTGCAGGGCTGAGGCTGCTGCCGGTGCTCCTGAGCCAAAAAGGAGGCCGAGCGCAATGTGTGCCAGTAGCCAGGGTGGCACAGGCGTGCGGCAGGTGCCAAGGGTACCTACAGGCCCCAGACCACGTGGGTTAGGGGGGGCCTTGCCAGATGCAGCGACTGTTAGCGCAGTCCCGTTCTGATAACCCCTTGCACTCACCACCCAGATCCCTTGCAGTTCCTTTCGTAAGCACCATCAGGCTGTCTTTGACTGCCCGACTGTTGCAATGTGTTCAGTTTCTCTATGTGAAGGAGGGAGATCAGTAAAATATTTACAAAATACAGAAAACAGAAAGAGAGCAACTGCAGCAGACTAGTAAGTTTTTGCTAAATAGGACAATACGGTCCCTTAAGTCACATAAAAGTCTTCATGACAACTTCCATGGCACTGTAAACTTGGACTAGTATCCCTTTTTAGTAATTCAGCCTAGCAGGAGTGGCAGTATTTCAGGGTAATCCACCTGACGCACTTGCCCACAACACCTTGACCACCTCTATCAGATTTTCCAGAATATCCTTTTCCTGTAAAGTAAATACGATATTATGACCCAAAGAGTTGTCGCAGTGAGGTTTTGAGTCAGATGCTCTGCGTGGGATTGACTGTCTTGCATCTTCCACTTAAAAGGGAAATAGTTTTCAAACACTTCGTGTCCAGTGTAGACCAGGATTGAGTTCATTCCTGAAAGCAAGCACAGGTCATACCGTCGGAAGGAGCAGGCCTGAGCTTGCTTCAGAGTAAGCAGGCAGAGGCACGCCAGGCTTACGAAACAGAGCGGCACCGAGACAACAGCAGCTAATCACAACAGCTAATGTTACTTGCCCAAAGATGCTACACGCATGTGTTTTCAAATACAGTCTGAGGGGTTCTCTCCCCCAAAACTTTCATTGAAAAGAAATACGGACACCCTATACGCTAAATTGAAAATGCAACCAAATCAGTATCCTGCAATTTTATTGACGAGGATAATCACAGTTATTGTCTTCAGGGCGGCCACGTGCCAACCCTTTTGGTCAGATCTATTGCCTTTACAAACAAATGCTGACTGCCCTTCAAAGCTCTGGGATTTCTGGTAGGGGATACGATACCATGCTGGCACCCTACCCCTCGTCCTGGCCAGACACCAGACACCAAAGCTGCTGAAAGGTTCCCTCCGCTGTGGGTTTGCATTCTGTACTCCCATGTTTGTCAAGAGCCCGGTGTGGTTAGAACCGCAGTGGGATGCTCTGGGAGACAGGCTTATCTAAATACACAGAGGCAGAACCTACACGGCTGCCCGAGGGATTTCGTCTTCCACATCTTCAGAAGTGGTATTACTCTGTCGACAGGCCTTTGAGTTTACCACTAGGTTACCCAAGTCTCAGCAGTCCTTTCCAAAACCAGCTACGAACCAGCTGTGGTATTTTGCTTGGTACTAGGCAGCTGTTCCCTGGGACCTTAACTCGAGACCAAACTGAGAACGGTCATTTGGCAATAGCAGCTTCCAGCCCTCTCTTAAAGACCTGACAGCCCCTCTCTCCTAAATATCTGGTTTCGAGTGTCCCAGTTCTACGCAAAGATTCGGCTCAAGTTAATCATTCTGGCATCCTTCAGCTTACCTCATTCCAAATCCCAACTCTTTTAAAGACAAGGGAAGTGCAGAAAACATAAAAGGATAGTACCAGCGCAGAAAGAATTGGAAGGAATACGTTTCCTGCCGTGATTTTACTGACCTGGGTAGAAAAATGGAGCGCCCGACCAGAGTCTCTTGACATCCACAAGGTAATAGATCAGCAGTAAGAGGATGAAGGCAAAGCAGCTCATGGTTGTCACATACGATATTGACCTACACACATTTTCAGTAGAACGATTATTTAGGGAACTATGTGATACAGACAGATCTCAATACAAGAAAGGTAGAACGTTCTCCAAGGTAAAACGGTACTGTAACAAAATCAGACCAGAAGTTGTATCTCTCTGCTTACCATAAGTTCTTGTTTATGGGAATAAACCCTTCTTCTTTAGAACATTTTGTCAAGATAGCAGAAATGATTCCCTGAAATAGAAAGTTGCTGAAGTTTATATAACCACTGCAACATGTTTCAGAGATACCAAGTTTGCGTTGCATAAAAATACGTGTCTGTCTAAGAGCTACATGTCTTACCATTGCTATGCTCCATATGAAGAACCGAGTCATAACTTGTTTGTGCTGGTCTTTGTAGAACAAGATAATTTTTCCTGCCTAATACAAAAAGAATACAAAAAATGAATTAATGCCCATAAATGTAACTACATTTCAGGAGCCAGATACATTTGCCAACGGCTACCTGTGCTAAGACATAGGACACGAATAGGGTTTATATCAACTAAGTGGCTGAAAGGCTCGGCATGGGAACTCTTTGCAAAGAATGGACACAGACGGGGAAAATCCGTAAATGCAACCCACTCAGCAATAGAGGTGCACCTTTTCTCCCTTCCCTACTAAGTTAACGCTGAGGAAGGGGACGAGCAGCTTTGTTAGGTGAACACAGTGTGACTCGAGCTCCACCTCCATCCGCAAGCGATGCACAAAGGAGCAACGCCGCGTCGCCTCCCCAGCCAGCCTCGACAGCTTCTCCACAGCGCCACGTCGCACCCTGGCCTGCTCGGAGCACGTGCTCCTTTTCACACACCACTAAGAAGTGTGTCCTGATGACTTATGCCTCAGTGTCGCGCTTCTGTTCCAAGCTCTGCCCCGCAGAGATTCCCAAGCAGTTTTTGCCCAGTGCTACATGCGGTAACGTTCCTTTCCCAGCACAAGAGTTTCAGTTTGGTTAACAGCTGCTGCGCAGACAGAAAAGCCAGCAATGACTAACTAGAACTTCATCAAAAAGCGCCACGATACCCTATTTTAAACACGGTGGTGAGCTGTGAGCTTTGGACGTTGGTAACACTAATGTGAACCCCTGCCTCCCTCGTGTCCGAGAAGGTGAGCACACCCGTAGCACCTACGCAAGACGGCTGACACTGCACGTCAAGCAGAAAATTGGCAGCGGGGAACATGTACAGCTGCCACCTTTAAAATCATATGTTTAAAATGAAGCTGGGAAGTCTATGCATCTCTTGGCCCTGTTTTCCAACATGCAGAGCCAGCCTACTCCCAGCATAAGCCCAACCTTAAAACAAGCAAAGGAAGTTTCCGGGTGGATATTTTGCAAACTTCTTGTGTCCATCCCTTACAAAAACTGAGGAAAAAGTCTTGGTTTATCTAATGCAAGCTACTGCCAGGTTAGATTCCACTTCTCTGACACTCACCTCAGGCTAAGTCAGCCTGAAAGCATTGCTCTGGAAAACGTTTCCTTAGAACCAATCTCAGCCTTAAATAAAGAAACCAAGTTGCCTCCCCACTTCCAAGATTCCTTCAAATCTTCCCATTATAGCACACAGCCAGAAAGAAAAGAGGTACCTGCAGTCCCAGAAATGCCATAAAAATGGTATTTATGGTCCCCAGGATCCCTTCAGGATCATATGGCATCGTTGTTTGGTAAATCACCTTAGAGAGAAAACAGTTGTTACCGGGCACCTGAGCAACCAATCTCCTTTCTCTTCCACCCCCCTGCAGCCATCATTCCCAAGCCTCTCCTGACAGCTATGTTCCGTGCTCGCCTGCGGCTTCATGCTGCAAACCAAAAGCTACTTACACTTGAAGAGGGATGCTGATATATATGCTTTTCTCCAAGAAGCAAACGATCAATGTAACCAGCCGCTCCTCCAGTGCAGTTGGGATACTTTCCAAAGTCTCCAATGCCCCCAGGACCAAGATAGCCCCTAGGACAGAAGCAAACAAGGTACGGCACAAAGTGTTGGTACGCTCCACCGGAATAGTAGCTGGTCCACTGGCCCAGCACGCTAAACGCTCGGATGTTTTCCCTGGCCAGAGGCACACAGTGAAACACAGGTCCTACGTGACAGCTGGCTGGCGGCCACCCTGTTTTGATCATCGCAGTGCCGTGGGCAGCTGGGTGATGAGGGGACAGGCGGTATCGGGAGCCTAAAGCAATGCTTCAGTTCAGCCCTGGCTACCCAGCCGGCTGCTCCACCTGCTCTGCAGGTGCTGACCCTTTAAAGGGGCAAAGACAGAGACAGGGATGACATTGCGATGATCGCGTATTGCTGTACACAGACTTCAGGTAGATTTTAGTCCTCTTCTTTAGATAGAAAGGAACAATGATGTCACCTTTGTAACACCTGGTAATCTAGTACCAAAGTAAAGAGAGATTTTTCATATGATGAATGCTTCCCTTAACCCTGCTGGCCTAAAAGCTCTCCTCTTCGTTCTTTCCCTATGGCTAAT